TCGGCCCGGCCATTCCCTTACAAAATACTGTATTTGATTCACACTCATTTTTACAACTAAGTCTTCTCTTGGCGTTGTACAGTTTTGTTAGGCACCTTTTGTGGTATTTAGCCTCTTGTGACACCATATCACCACCAGTTTCCAGCATTGCAATGAGGTGGGCGTCTTTTACAACTAAAGCACACTCTTTCACATGATAAAAAATTTCCTTGGTTTCACACTGGTGTAATTCCTCGTTCCACGACAGAAATAACACAGTTCGTCTTTCATTTTTATTGCAAAGCTTCCGGCTCTTGTACTGTACGTTTTTTCCACTTCGTTATTTTTGCACATATCTTCATTTTCATTTTCCTGGATGGCGCATTGCATGTCATTCAAAAGCTTATCAACTTGAGGGGGCATATAATTCACGGCGCACGCTCTGTGCCATTTTGCTTTTTGCATCATCGTGGGTACCTCCTCCTTCGTCCAGCGAACTGACAGGTCTCGACCACTACGAGTTTTGCCCTCTTATTACTCATATTTGCAAAACCTACGTGACAAAAACAAACATTAAGGGGGCATCCTAGCCTAGTGTAGCAGGCCTAAAAATACGTGTTTTTTGCGATTTTTTTTGAAAACGGAAGCAACATAGGGAAAACTAGGTTTGCTACATAAAAGTACACACCTTTCTCTGTCCAAAACTGCTAAAAAGTTGTCCAACGCCTCACGCATACCGGAGAAACAGCCTGCGAGAAAACACGCGTCGCGAATGTCGTGGACGCATGGCGTGCACGATAAATGCCGAACGAATGGTCCGATCAGGCCAACTCCGGTGTCTGCGTGTTCTCAAATAGTGTGGCTATGGCATGAACCTCCAACTTTGGAAACAAATGATTGGCTGAGCGACAGCGAAGCCTATTACTCCAGTGATGATCAAAAAGTTTCGCGTCTGTCTGTGTGTGTGTGTGTGTGTGTGTGTTTGTCTGTCATCACGATAACTCGAGAACGAATTGAGCAAGCGACCTGGGATTTTCAGGGTCGTTTGGTGTTATAAAAAGACAGATCAAGTTCGAAGAAGAGCATTCTAGCTCAAAAATTGG